GGTTGGAGCCGTCGGGTGACCCCACGGGACGCGGCGGGGGGGTGAGCGGGTGTCGTTAAGGCGCCGTGGTGTTGGCGTGGCCCCTCGGGGTGGAATTCATCTGCTCTGGATTCCTGCGACGCCTGGACGGGGTGATCTGGGGGGGCATCGGGCCGGGCAGAGCTGTGTGTGGCAGGCTTTAACGTAGCGGGGCGGCTCACGGCAGAACACACGGAAAAATACCCCAAAAAGCCCCATTTTAGTCCTATCTGAGCGGCTCCCTAGAGCCACGCAGGGTTCTCTGCAGTGACCAAGAGCCCGAGAGCTTCCCGTGAAACCTCCTGGCAGGCGGCAGCGCGAAGCCCTTTGTTCCGCGGCTGCTCTCGGGGAGCAGCAGCACCGTCAGAAAAGCCCCTCACGGCCGCGGCCCCGCTGCAGCAGCACCTCCAGGAGCCCGTCACCGGCCAGCAGCACGTGCTCTGCCTGCAAATCCCTCGGCGCAGGGAGCAGGCAGCGTGCTCGCACGCCGCTGCCCGGCGAGGAGGCGATGCGTGCTGGGCGCCGGGAGGTGTGCGCAGCCCGGCAGCCAGCCCCGGGATCTCAGAGGTGGCCCCGCTGCCCGCAAAGATAAATCCTCGTGACCCCAGGAAGGCAGAAGCCTTGCGCCGAGGGGCTACAGCTGGGCACGGCTGCACCCCGTTAACCCCCCAGTTTAACTGCCCGGTGCTTTTGCAGATGTTGCTCTGAGGCCCCGTCGCTGCATCCAAGAAACGTGCCGTGGGGTTGAGCAATTCCCGTGTCGCTCGCCCCGACCGGCGTTGGGGGCAGCTCCGGGGCCCCAAAGCAGCCGCTCCCCCCATCTCTCTCCCCGCCGGCACGGTGTGTGCCTCGTGGGGAGACGGACAGATGGAGAGAGGGAGGATGAGGAGGAAGCACTTGGCTCGCTGCAGGCTGGGCTGGGCTGCGCGGGCCAGTGCTGGCAGCTCCCCCCCAGTGCGGGGGACCCTCAAGAGGACGCGGGGGAGGTCACTGCCCCACAGAAAGCTTTTCGTCCACAGGATTGCGGAGGGGAGCAGTGAGCGATGGGGTGGATGGTGAGAGGTGGGTGATGCTCGTGTGCTTTCAAACTTCCTCTGTGCGTTTCTCAACCGCTTCTTGCGAAAGGTCCGGGGGCAGCGGGCGAGGGAGAAGCTCGGGAGATGCCACGGCAGCAGGGCCGGCGGTGTGTGCCCTGTGTCAGGGCCATGTGCTGCCCCGGGGGGTGCACGAACCCCCCTGTGAGGGCAGGGGCTCCGCGTTGGGGCTGCTGCCCCGGGTTTGGGTCACCTGAGGACCACGGGCTCACCTCGGAGGAGCCCAGGGCGTTGCTGCTCAGACACGGGACTTAGGCTCAGCCTGAACGGCGCGTTTGGACGGGACACAAACCAGGTTTCCGTCCTTCCGTGCTTGTCTTAGGGAACAAACTTTTTCTGGTGTGAGGTGCTGCTGCCACGTTAGCCTTGGCGTGGCTTCCAAGGAAACACCAAGGGCTGAAGGTTTTGGCTGCGAGCATCAGCCTGTGCGGGGGGAGGCAGCGGAGTGACGCCCTGGGCAAAAAGCCTTTAACTTGGGGAGCTGAGAAACTGCTCCTGGTGAGATCTCCGTCGAGATCTGGTAATTGTGCGGAGAGTGAGAACGTCTGGGGTCCATCAAACACTGCTGGTAGCCAGAAGGGATTAACAGTTGCCCAAAATCCTTTCTGGCCTCCGTGGGAGCCAGCCGGGGGGAGGGATCGGAGCGGCCCATCCTGTGGTGGAGCCTCCTGGGAGCGTCCAGCCGAGGATTTTGTCCCATCCGGGGGTAAAGGGCAGGAGTCGCTGCTCTGGGTTTTTCTGGGGTGGGAGATGCCAGGGTGCAGCTGCAGGCCCCCCCCCCGCCAGCCAACAAGCCTGAAGAGCCGGCTGTGCTGCTGTAGCTCCCCGCTCAAACGCGACGGTCTCTGCGTGACCACCGCCCCAGTTCTGCGTGTCGCTCGCCAGCTCCGGGCTCGCCGCGGTCAGCAGCACCCAGCTCCCGTTATCAGGGAGCGGATTTCAGTGATTCTCCCGCGTTGCTTAAAAACGTTCCTCTCAGCAGTGACCTGTATTGAAATCTCATTCAATTCGGTCGCGATAACTATATCGGCGTGGCCCAAAGGAACCCCTCGAGGAGCCGCGTAGGCGACGGGGTGGCTCGCTCTGCCGCCACAAGCTGGTTTTTGGGGAGTGGGGAGCCGCGTTGCCGATTCCCGCAGGGCTGAGCTGGCCGGCTCCCGGGGATTTTGTTATCCCCAGGGGGAGCGGAACCCCTGCGGTTTTCCTGCAGACCTCGGGAGCCTCTCCCTGCCTGACCGCGGGTGTGGGAAGGTGCGTGGGCACCCGTGGGTGCGTAGATGGGGTGTGTGTGTGGGGGGGTTACTGGGGGCGGTGGTTTTTTGGTTTGCGCCCTTGGCCGGTGCGGGAGCGTGGCTGCTGAGCTGCCTGGCAGGGGACGGCTCTCCTCTGTCGGCGAGGAGCAGGAATGGCGTCTGCCACCGGCTAAGGGCCGTGTGCTGCTGGAGCGAGTCGGGGCGCGGGTTCCGTGTAGAAACGGGACAGAGCGAGTACGGAGAACGTGGCGTCTGCGAAGGGAGCTCGCTTTTGTGGAGCGCCTTGCGTTTGGTGCCCTTGGTTCCTCCTGGCTGGCAAAGCCGAGCGGCCCTGGGGGAGGCAGCGCGGTGTGCCGGCAGGTGGGGGCAGCTGGGATTTGCTCTGGGGTTTGGGTGGAGGGGGCACGACGTGGGGTTTTCTGGCAAAGCTGCTGCTCAGACCCGCGAGCGGAGGAGGGCTGTGCCCGCTGCTGCTGGAACCACAGGGTCCCCGGCGCTGGCACGGCCCCATCGCCCGTGTCCCTGCTGCCCGGGTGTGCGGTGCCACAGGACTTGGTCTGGGTTGTTTTGGTTTTTTTGTCCCCAGGTGTGGGTGCCCAGACGGGTCAGAGCTTCAAGCTGCACCAGCCCCAGGACGAGGTGTTGGTGACAGCAGGGGACACGCTCACCCTGACCTGCACCGTGTCTGTGGACAGTCTCCTCGGCCCCGTGAAGTGGCTGAAGGGCTGGGGCAGCAGCAACGAGACTGTTTATGAGCAGACGGGCACCTTCCCCCGCGTGACAAGGGTCGTGAGTGCGTCTGACGCAGATTTCAGCATCCGCATCAGCGATGTTCGCCCCGAGGATGCCGGCACCTATTACTGTGTCAAGTTCAGCAAGTCGCTGGGTGGTGAGGAGGTGTTTCGGCATGGAAAGGGCACGGAGGTGTCCGTGCACGGTGAGTGGGGCTCCCTGAGCTGCTCCTGGTGAGCACCAGCCCTGCCGGGTGCAGCCCCTGGCACAGCCCAGCCCGGTGGGCTCTGCTTGGGGCAAGCGGGGATGGGGAAGGGGCTTAGGGGCCAGTCCCCGGAGGGGGTCCCACGGGCCATCATCCCCGGACACATCCGTGTCCCCGTGGCAGAGCCCGCTCCCTGCAGCCCTGGGGCTGGGCAGGGGTGGCAGAGCCCGGTCTGAGGGCCCCACACTTCTCCCCGCAGCCTTACCCACCCCCCCAGTCGTGTCCGGGCCCAACCACAGAGCGGGGCCGGGGCAATCGGTGTCTTTTACCTGCACGGCCGGAGGGTTCTTCCCCAGAGACATCAGTGTGAAATGGTTCAAGGACAACACCACGATCTCAGCTCAGCAGCCCCAGATCACCCCTGGGCGGACGAGATCCTCCTACAACGTGTCCAGCAACGTGACGATGACGCTGCAGGAGGACGACGTCCGCGCGCGGCTCGTTTGCGAGGTGCAGCACTCCACGCTGCCGGCCCCGCTGAGGGGGCACTACCAGCTCAGCAGGGCCCTGCGAGGTGAGGGCTGCAGGGGGGACCCGCGCTCGGGGCGTCCTGCTCCCACGGGGCTGGGGGTCCTGGGGTGGGGACGGGGCACCCTGCGGGTACCGGAGCTGGGGGATGTCAGGCACCAGGAGCTGCTTCTCTCCCCAGTTTCCCCCCATGTCCGCGTGGTCCCTGACCTGCTGAGCCCCGTTGGGGTGAACAAGACCTTGAACTTCACCTGCCACGTGGAGGGGTTTTACCCGGGAGAGGTGGCTGTCACCTGGCTGGAGAACGGGACGGAGATAAAGGTGGAGAACGTCTCCCAGCTGAGGAAGAACCCCCGGGGCTTGTTTGGGCTGAGGAGCCTGGTGGAGGTCCAAGCGACGGAGGAGAGGAACGGCTCCGTGTTCACCTGCCGCGTGGTGCACGACGCCCAGCCGCCCCTCGACAGGACGGTCACCCTGTGGATCGCTGCCCTGGCCAGGGACGGGCTGAGAGACTGGGCCCAGATGGAGAACGGTGCGTGGGAGCCGCTGGGATGCGGCCCCCGCCGGGGAGGCTGTACGATGCCAACCCCTGAGAAAGCTCAAAGTCCCACCAGAATCTGGTTCGAGGACACAAACTCTCCGTGCTGGGGGGGCTGGGGGAGTGACGCGGGCAGGTACCGAGCTGCCCTCGCCGCTTCGAGCGCCACCAGGCCAACCCCAGCTGTCAGGCTGCGGGGACCCGGTCGGGACCAGCGTTTTTTGGCCCGTGGTGACCTTTCTCATTCGCCTTCCAGGCAATTTGCTGGTCATCTACATCGTGGTGGGGGTGGTCTGCACGGTGCTGGCGCTGCTGGTGGCTGCGATTCTTTACCTCATCCGGACAAAGCAGAGCAAGGGTAAGGAAACCAAGTGCAGGCAGGGAAGCCAGCGGCTCCCGACCCCCTTTTCCCTCTCTCTCTCGGGTGCCCGAAGGAGAGGTCGGAGCGGAGCTGGGCGGGCGGTTTGCAGGCTGCGGGGAAAGCTCTGCCTGCTTGCTGCTGTGTGTCGGTGCCTGCCAAGGAGCAGAGTCAAACCCGCTTCTTGTTCCTTGTACCTCAAACGTCTGACACCCCCCTGCACCTCCTGCCCTCTCCCAGGAACAGTCCTGCAGGAAATGGAGTGAAACTCCAGAAAACCGCAGGCGCTTGCCTCTGGGAAAAGCTGTGTATTATCTGGGCTGGCAGCAGTCTCTGCGGGTGGGCTCACGTGCCGGGGGAAGCGGGGAGGGGTGACCCTGTTTCCTGAACTATTTATTCCCTAAACTTTCTCTTCCGGCAGGTAAAAGCTCACCATCTGCTAGGTAAGTGTGGATCTCCCCTAGACGCCGAGTCCCCCGTGGGCACCCTGGGCTGGGCACCTCCAGCCCGCAGATGGGGTTCCCTTGGGATCAGGACAGCACCGGATCCCCAAAATCTTGCGAAAGGGAAGGCAGGAGCGCAGGCTCTGCCCATCTCCCCGCCTGTGCCTCTGCCCCCCGCGGTGATCCCCCACCCAAACGTTTGGCTTTTGGTGAGGCTGAGCAAGCGGGTGGGAGCCGGGTCTCCAGCCTGCGGAGATGGGGCTGGGCCGGTGCGGACTCGTCCTGCTGGGTGCTGCTGCGAGGACCTTGTGTTGCATCTGAACGTCCCCGGCTGCTCCATCGCTGGGGAAGAGGCAACAGTGCACTCTGTGATTTCTGGTGTTCCCCCTTTCAGGTTACACGAGCCCGAGAAGAGCAGCGAGGCCACTACCCAGGTGTGTCACTCGGCCCCGCGGGCGGGAGGCGGGAGCGGAGGGTGCTGGTTCCTCCAGGAGACATCTCCATGTCTCCGGTGGAGGGTGGTGGCTCCCCCGTGAAACATCTCAGTGTCTCCACACTGTGGCTGGAGAGGGAAGAGAAGCTGCCCCAGGGATGGGGCAACCACTTCGCAGCATCTTTGCTGCCTTCACCCTCTCCTCCTCCTCCTCCTCCTCCTCCTCCCAGGAAAGTCTGGGTTTGTGCTGCCTGGAGAACCAGCTGTGCGATAGCCAGCCAGGCTATTTGTGGAGTTATTTTGCATTTGGTGACGCAGTTACGAGCAAAGTCGTGATCAGCAGCAATCTGTCTGTCCTACCCAGCCTCTGCCAGCTCCCCATGGGCATCGCTGGGCAGGTTGGCCGCTGCCCATCCCTACCGGGACTTGGGAAGGGCAGGGTTGGGGCAGATGTGGTGCTGGCTCTTGGATTGTGGTGGTGGCTCTGCAGCGGTGGCTGGTGATTTGAAGACATAGGACAGGGTAGAGTGTCGCTGCGGGATCGCAAGCAGAGCCCGAGCTGTCCCAGCGGGATTGACTCCAGCAGGGGGGCTTTGGGTGGGCACCGGGGGGGGCTCCTCGCTCGTCCTCCCAACTCGTGGTGTCTCGCGCAGGAATCCGACCCCAACAACCTGACCTACGCCGACCTGAACTTCGACAGAGAGAGGAAGACCATCCGCCGGATGGCGGAGATGAGCCAGCAGTCGGAGTATGCCTGTATCCAGAGCAACCGGATGCCCACCAGCGACGACAACCTCACCTACGCCGACCTGGACATGGTTCACCTCAGCAAAGCGCCCAGGCGACCGGCCCCGCACCCCGAGGAGGCCGGCTCCGAGTACGCCAGCGTCCAGATCCCGAGGAAGTGAGCAGGGCTGGAGCGGCTGCCGGGACACCCCCGCCACCCCGCGTCACGGGGAACCACCCTGCTCCTCCCCAGGAGGATTTTCTCGGAAGCACAGAGCGGTGTGACGATGCGCCGCGGTGCCCGCGTTTGGGGCTGGAACAGAGCCTGCAGTACTGTGGGGGTCAGCTCCCATCTGCAGAGGCCTGTTTTGGTTTTGTTTTGTTTTTTTTGAGGGGGGGTGGCTTGGTCTCGGGGCTGCCAGCTCCATCTTTTTTGGGATTCCCCCCCCCTGCAGCCACGGGGGCCACAAGCGGGTGACGCCAGCGGAGCAGCA